TTTTTTACATCATTAATGGCAGATCACAAGTAATGCAATGATGTGGGAGTTTTACAAAAGATGTGCTTTTGCACATATTGACATTAAATAGATTTTATTTCTGCAATATCCACATTCTTCATTTATAAATGTAATTATTTATGTCATTAAATTATTATGGAATTCAACTATCTCTCCGTTTGTTGAAGAAATACTAATATTAAACTACTTTTTTGCCATTTATTTTTATGAAATAAAAAAGTGTCTTTTTATATAAACGATGCGCTCACAATATACTTGCAACTTGTACACAACTTGCCGCTGAAAAAGAATTTATTAAGAAGTAGTAAAATAACTATTAAAAGTGGTAATATTTTTAAAAAATTAAACCACTTAAGCATTTAAAAGCTAAATAATCTAACAAAGAGATCTTATTTACGCATTTTATTTTATTTATTGATTTGTCGTGATAGGCTGAAAACTGTTTGAAACTTTAAATTAAAGATGAGATGCGGCAAAATGCTATAATGTTGCTACCACTAAGAAATTTTTCTCAACGGCCGTACAATTTGGCAACAACTGCAATAAATCTCTATAATATTTGATGAGATCAAGAAAACCCATACTTGCCAACTTTTAAGCCCTTCCATTATCATTTTTCCCATTGGTATTAAAATGGAATTAAAACTTCAATTTTAAGCAAACAAATACGTTGTAATTGAAAAACTTAAGTTGACAACCTTGATAGTAACGCATATTAATATATGTGCTTAATTTTTGTAAGAATAGTGGTGATCAAAATCATCTAAAAATTAAGTTTATAAAAGAAAAAATAGTATATACTTACTACCACTTTAAATATGAAAATAAAATCTCCGGGAAAATCCGGAAGAGTTGGCAGGTATGAAAATCTATAACAGTTAACAAGTGATTTAAAATTAAATTTCAGTATTTCGAAATTGAAGTGGCAGGCAACTCTAAAAAATTTATATATTACCCTGAGTATAACAGACATGCCAACAGCTCCGCTTCGTGCAATAGTTTTAATAAAGTGGTAGCGAATTATATAGTAAAATTCGTTAAAGAGGGATAGTTACGCCTACTTTTTTAAAGAGTAACCAGTATATCCATTGTTTAACGTTGCATTTTCATATGCATACCTGCCAACTTTTACGCATTTGGCGTAAAATTTTATTTATATATTTAAAGTGGTAGTAAATATATACTATTTTTTTCTTTTATAAACTAAATTTTTAAATGATTTTCATCACCACTATTCTTAAGAAAACTAAGCATATATATTAATATGTGTTACTATCATGGTAGGCAGCTTAANAAAATTGAAATTCGCTTTCGCAAGGATTATTATGCTTTTATATATTTATTGTAATTATTTATATGTAGTGGTGGTCAAACTCATTTATAATTATCATTGTAATTCAAAAAGTTAATTGGGATAACCTGATTATTGCTACCACTTCCGGAAAATCCGGAAGAGTTGGCAGGTGTGTAAATCTCTATAATATTTGATGAGATCAAGAAAACCCATTACAGTTAACAAGTGATTTAAAATTAAATTTCAGTATTTCGAAATTGAAGTGGCAGGCAACTCTAAAAAATGTATATATTACCCTAAGTATAACAGACATGCCAACAGCATGTCTGTTATACTTAGGGTATACTTCGTGCAATAGAGAATTATATAGTAAAATTTGTTAAAGAAGGATAGTTACGCCTACTTTTTAAAAGAGTAACGTATATCCATTGTTTAACGTTGCATTTTCATATGATACTTGAAGTTTTTGATATTTAGTGGTGAAAAAATTACTCAAAATGAAAAATACTAAACTAAAAATAACTTAAATTTCGTTACCACTAGAAAATAATATTTCGCAAAGCGGAGCAAGTTGGCATCTCTGGTATAATATTTTTGCAACAGCAAACCTGCCGTCGTTTACGTTCACCAAAAAATCTTTTTTTCTAGTGATTCATTTGAAATATTTAGTTGATGTTTGTAACTTGTCGAAAATGTTCGAAGGAAAAAAAAAAGTTTTAACACATTCCTTGTCAGTCAAACCTTGGCTACATCTGGCAAACTAAACGTGCCTTAAATTTAGATTCAAGGAACACGACAGATATGGCAGCTGTCAAGAATTCGAGAAATCATCAAACGCTGCACATGAAGCCGTGATGGCTCAGGGGATAGAGCATTCGCCTTCCAATGAGGTGAACCGGGTTCAAATCCCAGAGATGGCTGATAGATTCGAATTCCGCGACCACAATGCTGACGTAAGATATTCTCCGTGATAGACGGATCATGGGCTAGAGTCCCCTTGACGTCAGATAACCGTGAGAGGTTTTCATGGTTTTCCTCACCATTTAACGCAAATGCGGGTTACCTTCATCAAAAAGTTCTCCACGAAGGCAAATATCTCCCAATACTCGATCCAGGAGTTCCCTTGTCTTAAGGATTGGGTTCAAAATTACATGACTACTGGGTTGAGCATTAGTTGTCGTAAATCCAAAAATTGAGGCTGCTGTTTAACGACGGTTATAACATAAAATAAAATTCCTGAACATTGTTGGAATCTTGGGCATAAACTCAATTTCAACGATGCCAAAATTATTTCCACCGCAGTCGCAGCTCACCGTAATGATCTGAATCTTGTTTTATTTATATGAATGCTGATTCTCTTGTTAAAGACATTAGTTCCTCACACCTCTCAGTAGCGCGTGGAAATGCATTTTACCCTTCTCGGCAACTTTGGTTTCTTCTCGTTTGGCTATTGAGGTTTTTCAAATTTTGTTTCTCAGCTTTATTTTTCCAGTTTCATTGCCAACTTAACGTTTTTATTTTAAATCACTTTTGCTTCTTTAGATTCACGTCTGACAAGTTTTGAAAATGGGTGTCAATTTTTAAGGCGCGCGATACTTTTCCATACCTGCCAACTTTTCCGGATTTTCCCGAAGATTTTATTTTCATATTTAAAGTGGTAGCAACTCTCATGTTATTCCAATTAACTTTTTGAATTATAATGATATTTATAAATGAGTTTGACCACCACTACATATAAATAACTACAATAAATATATAAAATCATAATAATTACTGCGCAAGCGAATTTCAACGTGATCAAAATATAAATGTATTTTTGAGTCAGATTGTTTTTCGTTTATTGTTTTACAACCACTCTGAAAATCCATTCTCGGAAAGAGTAAAAGTTGGCAGGTATGCTTTTCGGTATGTTTTTTTTTTCTCTTTAATTTGGTAATATCTTACTTTTCTTGGGGTTATATATTTAAATTACTAATAATTAAAAATGTTTCTAGACTGATAATTATTCGATAAAGATAATAAACAGGTTGTAAAAGCATTTTAATTCTTCTATTCTTTCGTCAAAGGTAGAATTTTATTTACAGAGATAACACAGGCGACTAAAAGGCTTTTTTCGTTTTATATATGATTAGTTTGCAATACATGTCACTAAGCTAATAAAAATTCAATATAGAAAACGATTTGAGTTTTGAAAACTCAAATCGTTTTCTATACTGAATATTTTAATTTCTATATTGAAAAATGTGATTCTCACATTTTTTGTAACCTGAGGTATCTATTCTATTAAATTGACAGGACCGCCTACTTTACATTTAATTTCAGGGCTGAATAAAAAATTATTCTAGTGGTAGCTAAGTTTATATTTTAATGTATATTTGTTTAAACTGAATTTTCCACACCACTACATATAAATGAGTTAAAAGTTCATATGCAGCACCACTTTGAACTATCTATTTCGCGTAAAGGCTTTTAAATTTGCTTGCAAAATTACCTAAATGTCTACTACTCTATGATATATTTTATCAGAATCATGAACTGCGCGATTAAAAATACATCTTTTTATTTTATTAATATGCAGTGGCAATCTTGATAAATATATTTCTCCTGAAAGAAGCATAAAATAGTTATGTTCTCATAACCATTTTTTATAATTTCTTCCTGATAAGTAGCAGCCCTGATATTTGTCGATATAATATATTAGTCGCAAATGACCAATTAAATTTCTAAAATTGATTATAATTTAAATCCTATAATTTTCATGATAACTTCATTGAATAATTTTCCACTTTCGCCACTTTTTAAATTTTTCAAGTTTGTAACCATCTTGTATAAACTTTTTTTTCCATCAAAATACTTTATATATCAATGCAAATGACTTTCTACGACAATAATCTGAAACAGATTAACCTATTCAGCATCGAACTCGCTGTCCCTCAAGTAGTTTTTCTCAAAATATAGATTTCTTTTTTTTATTATTTTGGAACTATGATTTTATTTACTTATTTAATTTATTTAGAACATTAATATCGAAATTTGTGCTGTTTACTTGAAAAATTATTAGAGTTTCTCGATTCAATAATAAATTATAAGAAGAAGACGAGTTCTTAAATCCAAAAATAATTTATAAGAAGTAGACGATTTCCTCGATTCAACAATAAATTATAAGAAGAAAGAGAAGACGGGTTCTTAAATGCGACAAAAAAGACGAGTTACTCAATTCAACTATAAATTATAAGAAGAAGGAGAAGACGAGTTTTTAAATCCGATAATAATTTATAAGAAAAAATAGACTATTTTCTCAATTCATCAATAAATCATTAGAAAAAGGAGAAGACGAGTTCTTAAGACCTACAACAATTTACAAGAAGAAGACGAGTTCATCAATTTAGCAATAAATTATAAGAAGGAGAAGATTGCAGTTGTTGATTTTGATATAAAGGAGGGGGGAGCGTTGGCATAGAAAGTTACAGAATATTCACTTTAAAGCCCTGTAATCTTCTTTTTTATTCCTTTCATTAGGTAACACCGTCCTTGGGAAGGAAAGTATTATCCATTTATAGTGGATAGCATCATAATGTACAATGTGTAACAAAAAAATGTGATGGGAAGAGAGAACAAAACATAATTGTTTAAGGACTATATTGTTTAAGAACTATATTGTTAAAGGACTATATTGTTTGAAGACTATATTGTTTAAGGTCTTTATTGTTTAAAAAAATATTCATTGCAAATCCAAGGATAACTCTAGAAGAAAATGTATTTTACATTTCATAGTAGTAATTAAGCATTTAATTTTGAAATGAGTGTAACCCTACTTTTAGTCATCTTTTTTTAAGTTGAATAAGATTAGTTAATTTCATTAATGCGATGTAATCATAATAATCTTAGCATTTAAAAAAAATGTTCTTTTTTGCAAGTCACGAAAACTGTCTAAGACGGAATTTTTGATTTCACACCAATCAATTTCGCCCTAGGCAGAGTTAACTTTATTTCGTTGAACAACTGCATTATACTTTCTTTGCTTTTGAAAAGTTTTGCATTCAAGCGCTTGAGCTTGGCAGAGTGCTGTCAATACTCGACACTGATCCATTTTTTCCCTGTTAAGTCAGAACCATCAATGGGAACAGATGACGTCAGGTATTATGCTCAACTTCTTTTCATTCTTTTCCTCTTTAACTTCAACTGTAGCCGTTCCCCATTGTTGTACCTCAGCAGATCCAAAAATGGCGAATATTGCACCACTTACAAAGTAAACAGCTGCAGCAGTATAAAAGACTTCACTCCAATTGTGTATGGTTGACTGCGAGAAATGAATTAAAACAAATTACTGAAATGCTATTGCATGAATTTTCAAAATACTGTCGTATGCACTGTAAAATGAAACAAACAAAAAAATCCTTAGAGTATTTATTTTGTATAAAAAAGCGTACTAAAATATATTTTTTTTCTTTTTTACCATTGTGTTTTTAAGTGGTTCTCTCGCACTTCGGTAAAGGGCCGCCAACTTCTTCGTTTTTTTTGTAAAACTTTATTTTACTGGTAGTTAAGTTAATGTTTAATGTATTATTTTGTATTGATTTAAACTTATTTTCAGCACCGCTGCATATCAATGATTTAAACATTCATAAACAATACCACTTAATATCAGCTCTTTTGCTTTGAGGCGTTTAAAATGCTTGCAAAATTACCAACAATTTGGAAAGTGTTGGTTTTGAAATGTGTCTAGCACTCTATAAAATACTTTACAAAAAGCGGAGTAGGTAGCAGTCTTGAAAAATTACTTGTAAATTTCTTACCATTAGCTTTTAATTTAGAATTAAATTTCTAATCCATTGCTTTTGGATTTAATACATTTACTAACATTTTTAAAATATGGTGTCAATTACAGACTTAATAAAATGCAATCTTTCATCCTAATAATACCGGGTGTTTATAAAATCCCGAACCTATTTTGATGTTTAATAATTCATAAAATAATAAAGATAGACTAAAATTAATAACATAAATGGTTAGATAGACTCAAAAAGTTTCATGATCCTTGTCAATGAACTTCCACGTGTGCCCCCTTCGTCGCACGAAAAATATCAAGTCGAAAGTCAATTTCACGCCAGGTAGCGGCAAGCATGTCGGCATCCACAGAGGCTATTGCGGTTGTAATTCTGGCTTTTAGGTCATCAATGTTCGACACGATCCTCCTGTAAACATTGTCCTTTATAAATCCCCCCCCAAAAAAAAGTCCAGTAGCGTTATATCAGGTGATCTGTGTGGCCAAGGAATTGGACCTCCTCGTCCAATCCATCTTCCTGGAAAATGGTCATTCAAAATTACGAACGATGATATAGTTCGTTCACTAGGAGTTGGCACTTGGCTCCGCCTTCATCACGTGGTATCGGATGATACTATTTCGCTATTTTGGGGAGAAGGATGTGAACAAGGCTGCTATTTGGCGATCGTACGACAAAAATATTTATTTCGCAATCTTCATGTGCGTTTTATTTCATTAACTTGTTGATATTTCTCTCTTTTTATTGAATAGTTTGTTCTTTTTGAGATATTTTGCTGGGAAAAAGTTTTTAAATATAAATAAGCTAGAATAACGAGAGGTATAATAGCTGATGATAAGTGACTGAAAAAGAATTCACTGTTTGAGTTTGGCCATCACCTTCTATATCAGAAAGCCTCCACACGGCTTCTTATAAGTAGTCTGCGCAAACTATTTAAAAAGTGAACAGTTTGAGTGCATGCAACCTAGTTCTATTTTAAAAATTGACTGAGAGAAATTTGTCATATATATTTGAGAATTGAATCTGTAGTGGTATGCAAGTAAATAAGACAAACTAATCATATTCAAAAATTAAACAAATTATTAGACATATATTTGCTACCACTTTTTTTATTTTTACTAGATTTCCTATTAAAGTGCTTTTTCGTTAACTGGTTTGCCTTCATAGTGGTCTGATTGAAGTACATACCAGCTATCTCTTCCGGATTTTGCGGAAGATTTTATTTTCATATTGAAAGTGGTAGTAATTATATACTATTTTTTCTTTTATAATCTTAATTTTTAAATAATNTCTCCGTGCGACGAAGGGGGCACACGTGGAAGTTCATTGACAAGGATCATGAAACTTTTTGAGTCTATCTAGCCATTTATGTTATTAATTTTAATCTATCTTTATTATTTTATGATTTATTAAACATCAAAATGGGTCCGGGACTTTATAAACACCCTGTACTATAAATTTATGATTTTTCCCAGGTGATCATGAACCCTATTTTACGGCATCTGATTTCAATTTGTTAAGTTTCTTATTTTTCATGACACGCGAAAGACAATTCAGGAAGAAAAAAAAGACACATTGAACAATTTTGCCTCTCTCAATTTTGCCACAGCTCTAAATTAGCTTTGCATTGGCATTGGACAAGTCTTGCCGGTTCATCGAAAAATAATAACTAACCCAATAATAACTAACCAAAATAATAACTCCGCCATTAAAACTAGTCAATATTTGAAGAAAAAAAAACCAATTGAAAAAAATTATATTAAATATTTATTTCATAAAAAGATGATATTTCATTATGTTGCCAACCACTTTATCTTTTAAAAAGCCTTTTAATGACACCTCAAACTTAAACAATTTTTTTTTCTTCCCACCGTGGGAGGTTTACGTGGTTTATTCTCCATGTAACACAAATGCGGGTTAGTTCCATCAAAAAGTCCTACACGAAGGCAAACTTCTCTCCATATTTGATCCAAGAGTTCCCTTGTCTTCTGGAGTGGGTTCAAAATTCTAAGGAATCGGAGTTAAACATTGGTAGTCATAAACTGAAAGTTTTGTAGGCTGTTTAAAGACGGTTATAAAATATAAAATAAAATACTACCAGGGATTTAATTTCACGGTGAGCAGTAGAAATTTAGAATCTGTCCGAAACATTTTCTAAAACTTATACTAGATCGTCTGTTCAAAAGGTAGTTTTAAAATAAAAAATGAGGTGAACAGGGTTCGAATCCCAGCGGTGGCTGGTCCATAAGAATACCGCCTCCTGCTCGCACAGACCACAGTGCTAGACATAAAATATTCTCAGTTGTAGACGGATCATGGAATAGAGCCCCCATAAATGTGGGATGCTTTCGTGGTTTTACTCTCCATGTAACGCAAAGGCGGATTAGTTCCATTAAAAAGTCATCTACGAAGGCAAAATTTTTTCTCAATATATGATCTAGGATATTCTTTGTATTCTGGATTGGGTTCAAAATTAGAAGACTAGTTCAAAATTAGAAAAGCATAAAAATTTTGATATTTTAAAACCTAATATTTATACATAAAATGGTAAATGTTTTCACGCCTGAAAAATCTTTCCTTCAACGATCGTGCAAATTGGTTGCTTTATAAATTTCTTATATTGAAAAAACGTTTGTTTATGGAGCTGTTTGGCGTGTATATATATCGCTGTGAAAATTGATTCCAAAAATTACATCCATGGATGTCAACTTTGGATTTGGGAGAAGGAATCTAAGGGTGTACCTCAGCAATTCTCCAAGAAGTGTGAATCTATGGTACTAATAATGCACCACTCTTCTAGGGAAAATTAATAAATTTAAAATTATCGGTATCGTACTGGTGAAAAAAAAATCAAATCTATCAGAAATACTCACGCCAGTTGCTGTAAAGTATCCTACAACCAATGGTCCAATTATCCCCATAAGATTGGCAACTGCATTTGTGATTGCAAACGCAGTTCCTGTTGAAGAAATAATGAAAATTTTAACACATTGCAGGCAATTTTTCAAAAAATTCTAAAATATGAAACAACAAAATATGCAACAACCCGTGAGTCAAACAGGGGATTTTGGATATTCCAAATCTGCAAAAATAAAATTTAGGGGTTTCAGTTTTGCTTTCTTGATTGCGGTTGTTATACTTCAATATTTAAGAATTTTATTTGATGTTTATCTTTGCTGAATCAATACGTCTTAATCATATCATTTAAAACACGTCCATACCTGCCAACATTTAATCCCTTCCATTATCATATTTCCCACTGGTATTAAAACTTCACTTTTAAGAAAACAAATACGTTGCATTTGAAAAAACTTAAGTTGACAACCATGATAGTAACGCATATTAATATATGTGCTTCATTTTTGTAAGAATAGTGCTGATCAAAATCATTTAAAAATTAAGTTTATGAAAGAAAAAACAGTATATATTTACTACCACTTTAAATATGAAAATAAAATCTTCCGGAAAATCCGGAAGAGTTGGCAGGTATGCCCGTCTAAGTCCTTTCATGGGTGAAAGCCCTTATATAGCAAGACGGAAAAGAGAAAAACCAGGTACGTAAAACATTTCATTCCAGCATTTTTTTCGAAAAAAATGAAATATCTGTAACTATCAAGATTTCTTTTATAATTCTGGCATATATATAAAACTGCTTCTTTTCCAAGATAAAGTAGATATTGTTGAAAAATTTAAAAAAAGAATAAGTAAACTCCTCCCCAAAACTAGCTATAACTGAAATGGTTTTACTACCAGCCTTTCCTCTTTTCCGTCTCGCTTTCACTCCTGAGTCCTTTGGAGAACGAATTTCGATTGCCATTGCATTTGCGCATTCTCAGTATACTCTTAAAACTGAACATTCCGCCTTGGTATATATGTAAATATTGTGTCAGATATATTTTAAAAAACTTCCATAGTGGTAAAACAAATTACAAAAGGAACAATCTTTTTAAAAATTTATGACTACCATATGTATTACATAATACATTATTTTGCAAAGAAAATCTGTATTAAAACTGTGTCCAAAACCCTAAACAGTAAAATGGCATCTTAATACTAGAACAGCAGGAGTTTCGACATACCTAAAACCGCCCTTTGCGGTCATTTTGACCCTCATAAGAAATTGGTGTTACTTCAAAGTAAATGATTTTTTCAAAAATGATAAATATTCTAGAAAATGCAATATGTAAGAGTTTTTAGAGATTTTATAATTTTTTTTTGAATTTTCAGAAATTCCATAGTATCATCGACTGGTGCTATGTGTGCTGCCCATCGATTTAGCGCAATTTTCAATTTAAAAAAATCTCACACGTTTTCTTTGGCATAATTTGACCGTTAACATTGCCCAGNAGGCTTCTGGGGCGATATATTGTGATTACAGACACACACACACACACACACAGCCGCTTTTATTATTATGTATAGATAGATGTATAGATTTCAATTCAGAATTTTGATACCTGAATTTTTTTCTATATTATTGCTTTCATTCGTAGCAATTTGTGTTACTAGGACAACGTGCATTTTTATTTTACTACCAAATCAGCTTATACTCAACGTTTTTCAACTAAAGAGCATTTCTACGTGTGTAGCTAATTAATCAGCACAAAATTCAATAAACAGAATCACGCATATTATTTTTCTTCACCGTAATTTAAATACAAAAAATTAATCATTTTTAATACCTTTCCCAAAAATTATTTCTATATTATAGTTATTTTAGTTTTCATAATTTGTCCTACAAAGTTAACGAAATCTTGTTTTTAAGAAGCAAATTACCAAATCTTGTTCGTTTTCTCCCTGAACTGGAATCAATGTGATTTCACGCCATGTGTGACGTTAGTCGAACAGCACCAAATTCAATGAAAGGAATTTCGCACATTATTTTTCACCGTGATTTAAATAAAATAAAAATTTTCATTCTTTATACCATTACCGATAATTTTTTTTTTACATATATTGATTTTACTTTTAGCAATTTATCTTACTAGAGTAACGAGTACTCATTTTTAAAAAACAAATTACCTCGTTCGTTACGTTTTCAACATAATCTGGAACCAATGGTGTAAGCACATTTCCATGTGTGTTGCACGTCGATCAGCACCAAATTCAATAAAAAGAATCTTGTTCATTATTTTTTTCACCGTAATTAAAATACAAAAAAAATTGACATATTTTATAACTTTTACAGTAATTATTTCTATATTACAGCTTTGATGATTTGATCTGCTCGGGTTCTTATTTAACAAGAAAATGACCTCGTTCCGAAGTAATTCAACTACATTTTTTTGTTTTATTTTTATTAATAACAAAACTCTAGAATTTGCACCACTATAAAAAAAAACACACACACAAACAACGTTAACTTTAAACGTACCTGCAAAATCTGGACACATGTCAACGTGAGTTACGTTGAATCCTGAGTATATACAACCATTAAATCCCATTCCCAGAGTTAAAAGAGCAACAATCAGTTGTGGACGACACCCGGATATGTTGATTAGCAGCAAGCAACAAGCTGGCCCGAATACCCCTAAAAATAATAATACATAGTTTTTGATCAAGAAAAAAGGTTCAATTTTGAAGAAATTTTTTTATTACAAAATATATCCAGAAGGCCGGGATAGCCTGGTTGGTAGGGCACTGGGCTCATGTCCAAGAGTTCATGGGTTTGATCCCCGCAGTGGTAAATATTAAATTATATGTGAGGTTGCAACTCTTACAAAATATTATTCTCAAGGAAAGCTTCAAAGTGGAAGATTGTTCTATAGAATAAATTGTAGAACATTTTATTTCTATCTTCATTTCGGGAAATGTTTATTTTTCGTGACTACTACTACTAATTAAGAGGGAAAACAAACTTTTAAATTTACTGTGCATGCATTAGCTCTAACAAAATACAAGCTAAGGTACAAAAGAAATGGTTTTAGTAGCAGTTTTTTAAAATATCTTTTATAGACAAATGGCAGATTTTGGGCCGGAATAACCTGGTTGGTAGGGCACTGGGCCCATGTTCAAGAACTCGAGGGTTCGATCCTAGCCAGCCGAAAACTCCCCGGAATAGCTAGACTCCGAAGATGAAGTAAATGGTGACTGATGCACGTTAAATCTGTCAATTCGCAAAGTCTTCCATGTTCCCGTAACAAATAACTACCTCTGGGGGTACTGATCCAGGAGTTCTCTTGTCGTCTGGATTGGTTCAAAATAACAAGGCTACGGAGTTGAACATTAGTAGGCGTAAACCCAAAATCACGTCGGCTGTTCAACGACGGATATAATAAAAAAAATATGCCCAGAAAAAAGTGAGAGCATTCAAACTTTTAAAAAACATTATCGTGAGAATATAAATGACTTTCAGTAAACACATCACTAAAGTTATTTAAACGAGTTAAATTTTTTTTCAACTTTTTCACTGGTATAGTTGCTTTTATTTATTTATTTTTATTTATTTGTTGACTGATATGGCATATTTCATACGCATCAGAATCAGTTTAATGGCTTCATTGCTAAAATGTTTCGTTAACCGTATTGTATTTAGAAAACCTCAATATAGCGACAGATCTAACGTGCACCATTCACTTACACGGGGAGTCCTTGTGATTCTAAATTTGAGCACCCTGCCAATCAGGCCTAATAAACATGGTATTATTATGTATAGTTAATAATATTCTGTAAACTATTTTTTTCCCACACTTGTTTCTCTTTTTATTATTTAGAAATGAAATTTGTAGGGCTTACCATACTTCGAAAGACGAGCCTTGTATTAATAATATCGACAGTTTTTTTATATTGAATAAAACGTTCATTTAAAAAAAACAGTGGCAACGAGTTTTAAAGAATGGTCAATAGCTAGTGCCAAAATTACTTAGCTTGCGAGCGACAAAAATGCTACAACTTGAAAGATTGTAGTAAGTCCCAAAGAATAGTTATATTACTTACCGATAATTTGGAATAGCTTTCGAATAGAGGTGATGGACATAGTTTCGGACACTCTAAGTCGATCTGCAATGAATGATGCAACCCAAGCTGCAGCTCCTTGTGCAATGTAAGGAATTGCGGACAGAAACCCATTCTGAAATTTATAATTTGAATTTAAGAATTGAAAAATCTCATCGAGTGAGTAAAAATTAACAATAATTAAATTATTTACTACATTTAATGTCATTACTCTTTCGTATTGGATAGGTAGGATATACTTTTAAATGAAAGGAGTTATTAAAAATCTTAAATAAAATTGACCCGTATCTTGTTCAAGATGGATCTTTCTTTGTTTCAGTAATTTCATATCCTTTTTTACGCACTAGTTTGTGAGAACACGTCACCGAAATCTGGTAAGAGATGGGTTAATTAAAAGATAATCATAGTTTTTGACTTAGAAGTTACAACTCCCAATAATATTTAGAAGGGGAGAAATTTTTAAATTGATCAATACCTAATAGTTCGAATCCCAGCGTTTGCCGTTTTATAAGAATTCTGCACCCTGCTCTCGCCAGTCACAGTGCTGATGTAAAAAAACCTTCAACGGTAGACGGATTAAGAGCTAGCTTACCCTTCCTAACGAACTAACCATGGGAGGTTGCCGTGATTTTTCTCCCAGTCTAACTCAAATGCGGGTTAGTTCCAATGAAAAGTCCGAAAGCTAGTTTCAACCAACTTTTTTGTAAAATATTTTACAGAGTGGTCGATATTTAAAAACCAAAGCTTTCAGAATTTTTGATAATTTTGCCAACATTTTAAAAGCTTCACCACTGAAGAGCTGGAACAAAGTGGCTTTGTATAAGAACTTTTAAATCATTTATATGTAGTGGTGTGGAAATAAGGTCTACTGAATAAGAAATACTAAATTAAAACATAAATTCAGCTGTCACTAGAGTAAAATTTTGCACAAAGTTGACAACTTGTCGTTATCTTGGAAAAGAATACAGGAGGGCAGGCAAAATCTGAGCAGCACCGCCATAGTTAAAGGCATAATTAATTAAAAATGAAACATGTTAATACTTACCGATTTTAGATCGAAATGAAGAATATTGTTAAGATATGTTGGCATCTCTGTCATCAACAAATAATATCCGAAATTATGTCCCGTATGCGCTATGACGAGAGCCCACATAGGGATAGACGTAAAAATATCTCTCCAAGGAACGGCCGGTTTCTGAAAATTTTAAGCAAAAATATTAAACGTAACACTTAAGCGAAACCTTAAACCTTATAAAAAAAACCTGCTCAATTGTTTTTTATTACAAAAAAAAAATGGTATCACGTTAGTGCATAGCAGGCAATACTTTTGTATTTTCAAAAGAAAGTTTCTGTATTTTCATAAAGCAATTTTTCTGTATTTTCAGATTAGCAAAAATGTGTGCTTTTCTTTTTTTTATATAATTAAGAATGATTCTAACTACCAATACAAATTAATAAATTAAACAAAATAAGAAATGTATATTTACATAAAAAAAGGATCTACTGAAGAAATTAAACCAATGCCAAAACAAGATCCTTAGAAAAATAACCTGTGCAAGATGGTTCATCCGGAATACCAATATACATGCAGACCTCAAAATACCAACTCTATCACAGCATATATACAAGCTAAACGCAGATTTTTTCGATAAAGCCATAGAATGTAAAACAGCAAATTTTAATGAAATCTTTAAATTTGAAAATTATATCAAAGATAAAAACTACAGACCAATAGCTGCACATTTCACCTCCGACGCCTCATATCATAACTATCAAAACAAATAATTTCATCAACCTTTCTGAAAATAACGTTTACTCATGCTGATACAATTCTGAACAACTCCAAAATCAAACAAACACAGTTTAGAGCAAGCTGCTCAATTTATTTTTGATTCCTTTTTAGTTATTCAAGCAAAGAGCTTGAAACATTCATAAAAGCAACTCCATTGCTTGCTTACCTCATTGCTCAACCAAAACTGTTCAAAAATTCCAGATGAATGGGATAGGGGCCGCTTCGAGGCCCAGGTGCCTAATAAAATCTAAACACTAGCACTAAAAAAAGGAGTATTAAAAGAATACTTTAACCCCTAAAATTAATTTTCTCACCGCGTCAAGATGATATGCAGAATTCCTCGTCATAGATGCCCTTCGGGTGGGGAGGGGGAGTCATGCAGAAAAATCGAGATGCTCCTTGATTTTCTTCACTTCTCGATCATTTGAATGTATGTTGTTGTTGTCGTCCGCCGGTAAAGCAGAGGGGGTGCGATTGTTCTTGTTTTCCAATGGCGCCATCTATGGCCAAGAATTCTACTTCTGCCACAACCATGCGTCACACCTATTTATACATCCATTCAATCATCCACAGATCGTAATTTTGTCCTGAACCAGGGAACGATCAATCTCTATTTCAGTACCCCCGGAAATTATTAATTTTTTCTTGGAATATAGAGAACTTCGTGACCTGACAGATTTGACGAGCACTAGTCACCATTTACTCTACGGGGAGTCTTCGGTCGGCAGGATTCGAACTCCCATTCTCACAAACGTGAGAATGGGACCAGGCTATCCCTCACATATATTTTCCTATTAATTTAATACGACCTAATCATGCATCTTTATATTTTAAAAAGAAATAACTTTCACAAAATTGAAACAGTTTATTAGAAATGTTGAAGTTATCATCGTATTCAGCAGATAACAAGAGCTGTTTATTTTACAAAAGAAAGACCATTAACAAAACAACTAAAATATGGCTGAAAAGTTTACGATTTATAGTTTTACATAAATACCCTTTTATAATTTCTTCCATTTACTTGCATATTTATTTATATTATTCAAATTTTAAGTCAATGACTACCAAAATAGTTTCATTATTCGGATCCTTCTCAATTTGAAAAGTTTTCAGCCAAACAAAGAAAATGAAGTTTTATCAAGTATCGAAAATCATATGCTATTATTAATTTAAATGCTTTCATTGTGTAAATATTAAGAGCTTTTTTGTAAAATGTTTTAATTTTCATTGTGAATAATATGCAAAATTCACAGTTTATCTTTTTCCACTGTTTATTTTCATAAAAATTAAAAAAAACAATGAACATCTTATTTTTTATGTTGAAAAGTAGGTTATTGAGCATTATGAGAAAAAAAAAATCTAAACGGTAAAAGTTGTAACTTCTTTGCAAAAAAAAATCTTGAAATTTGCCAAAATGTTCTACCTAAAATCTTTTTCCTAAAAAAAGAAGAAGAAAAAACGAAGAAAATTAAGAACATTAATAAGCTTTATTTACTACGCATAAGTTGCGAGCTAAATAAAATGCGTAGCTACTATAGAACTTCTAAAATAAGTTAAAAATATAGAGAAAACTTGGAAAATAATAAAGTTTGATGAAAAGAAAAGAAGAAAAATAGAATATTTTTTAAAGAATTATATTCATTATTTGAAAATAAAATAGCCATATAACAGTTGTTCTTTACATTTTCAAATAAATTTCCTTTTATGAAATTTTCAAGAAGTAAATACGACTAAATATAACATCGTTAATTTTATAGTGATCCGTTCTACAGCGTAATAGCAGGTATGAATAAAAATATTTAAAAATATTGAAATATACTAATTATTTCAATAAATAGTGAACTTACATCTTTTTATTTACCACTTCCAAAAAAAAAATTTAAATTTTAAATTGCATTCATTATATATATACATACATTATAGGAGGCATTTGCTCTCTTATTAAGTACTTGCAAAGCTTGAGTTAAAGCGCAATAGCAGGTATGCATAAAAGTACACTCTATAACAAAAAAAAAACGACGCACCAAGAAGGAGTTGTCCGATTAAAACGAAAATTGGTGGATAGGAAGACAATATACAGAATAGTAAATGATAAAAAATTTCAGAACAATTGAATAATTTATTGCAGAGTTACAGAAACAAGTTCAATAAGGTGTTGACCCGCCTATAGCCTGGATACAAGCTGCCACATGGCGTGGCTTAGACCGGTAAAGCTCCCGGAAGGTCTCTTGCGGTATTTCCTGCCAAATGGCATTCCGTCATCAACGAGGACATCAACATTCCGTGCCAGATGCAATCGCCTTCCTATCATATCTCAGGCATGCTCGATGGGAGAGAGCTCTGGTGATCTGGCAGACCAAGGAAGAGTTTGACAAGCTTGCAGACAGTTCAAAGCAACACGTGCCGTATGTGGTCTGGCATTGTCCTGCTGAAAAACCAGCCCAGGGTGCTGCAAAAGGAACGGTAGCAAAACAGGTCTTAGGATGTCGTCGACGTACCGCTGTGCAGTAAGTGTACCTCTAACGACGACCAAAGGGGTCCGGCTGTCAAAGGAAATTTCACCCCAGACCATAATGCCTTGTTGAGGGCCGGTGTGGCGTGCAATAGTGAAGGCAGGATCCTCCCTCTGCCCTGTGCGTCTCCAAACACGTCTTCGATGATCGTCAGAACAAATTTGGAAGCGGGATTCGTCGCTAAAGACTATACGTCCCCAGTCGGCATCATTCCAGCCTGATCGAGCCATGCACCACTGTAATCTGGCACCAGGAAGCAATCGGATGGTTGCTTCTTGGTGCGTCGATTTTTTTGTTATAGAGTGTATTTCAACTAATCGTAAATTTAATTACCGTTTTTAAAAATAAAAAAATTTATATTTTTGATTACATTCAGTATGTACATTGTAACAAGCTTATGCTTTGTAATAAAGTACTTGCAAAGCTGCTCCAGATTCGTCTAAACATTTTAAAAAACGGATTTCGATTAGTTTTGACTTTTTAAACTGTTCAAGACGAAACAACTGCAACAAGCTGAGGTATCACATATGCGTTTGAATTATTTGTAAATAAAGAGTAAAATCCCTATAAATCGAATTTATTAAGCCAAAAATTTTACATTAAAAGACTACCTCTCGAAAATATTTATCCGCTGTCCGGAGAAAGTGACTTATCTGTTAATGTTGTGAGTACTGAATTCGGGAAAAAAATAATCAGTAGAACATATATCCATCCTTCCTGCATATTTCGTTTTCTTGCAGCGTATGCATCGACTTGTCTTAACAGTCCCGTTACACATGGTATTTTTATTATGTCAATAATGCCTGTTTAGATCGTTTTTGAAAGTAGCAGGTTCCCGTCTCTATCGTTCAGTAATTCTACTGATATTTTCCAAAAATATTGTAACTATTTTTTTTTTTTCGAGAAGGAAACAGTAACTCCCATTGCTAACTATAAAGAAAAAGAGAATTCGTTGTGGGTTAAGAAAAACACCTCAGACATCATGTTTAATGCTTAAGCATCTTTTGATGAAAATGTGGGTTCATAGNTTTGAGCACCCCGCCAATCAGGCCTAATAAACTTGGTATTATTATGTATAGTTAATAATATTCTGTAAACTATTTTTTTCCACACTTGTTTCTTTTTTATTATTTAGAAATGAAATTTGTAGGGACTGCCATACTTCGAAAGACGAGCCTTGTATCAATAATATGAACAGTTTTTTTTATATTGAATAAAATGTTCAATTTTAAAAAAAACAGTGGCAACGTGTTTTATAAAAAAATGGCCAATAGCCAGTGGCAAATCTATTTTGCTTGCGAGCGACTGAGCTGCTACAACTTGGAAGATTGTAGTAAGTCCCAAAGAATAGTTATATTACTTACCGATAATTTGGAATAGCTTTCGAATAGAGGTGATGGACATAGTTTCGGACACTCTAAGTCGATCCGCAATGAATGATGCAACCCAAGCTGCAGCTCCTTGGGCAATGTAAGGAATTGCGGACAGAAACCCATTCTGAAATTTATAATTTAAATTTAAGAATTGAAAAATCTCATCGCGTGAGTAAAAATTAACAATAATTAAATTATTTACTACATTTACAGTCATTACTCTTTTGTATTGGATAGGTAGGGTATACTTTTAAATGAAAGTTATTAAAAATCTTAAATAAAATTACCCCGTATCTTGTTCAAGATGTATCTTTCTTTGTTTCAGTAGTTACATATCCTTTTTTACGCACTAGTTTGTGAGAACATGTCACCGAAATCTGGTAAGAGATGGGTTAAATATAAGATAATCATAATTTTTGACTTGTAAGTTGCAACTCCCAATAATAGTTAGAAGGAGGGAAAATGTTTAACCGGTTAACGCCCAGCGTCATATGTTTAGGACAGTTCCTTTTTTCAA